CACGATGCCTTTAACGGCTCTAAGGCAAAAAGATGCTTAATTTTTGCCAGGCTGCATTTATTCATTCGATTTAGCGATCGAAAGACGACATCGTATACGCGTTTAAATCCACTTATGTTTGTAAGAAAGGTTGTGAAAGATGTACTTTGCGTCTTATGGGCCCACCATAAGTGGCGAAACATTCCACCGTAGTGTTCAAAGTATTGCTGTAATTGTGATGCAATTTCGTTGTTATCTGTTCACCATTGAGACTGCCACCAAAGAACAGGGTCCAATGACGGTGCCATCTCCACACAAAACTATCTGAAGTGAAATCTCATTTTCACATCAAAACTGAAGTTGGTGGGGTATTGGAGCGTATTCGCGGAAATTCTGGTTATTGACTTGGCCATACAGGAAAAACGCTGCTTCGTCCCCAATCACAAGGTGCTCCAAGAATCTGGGATGCCAGTCAAGGAACCCCTGGCAAAATCTTAGTCGTCTGGGTAGATCTGCACCAAGGAGTTCGCGTCGCCTGTGCATCTTGTGAGGGTACCATTGGGTGTCCAATCGAACGATCTTGTGGAAAAAAGAGGGCGAAATTCCTGGCCCATCTCCTGGCAGACACGTGCTGGTTTCTTTGTAACTGCTCAAGGACAGCCTTGCTACATGCTACTTGCTGGGGGGCTTCCAGTCCCCAACCACTCTGTTACCACAAACACACGCTGCTAAGTTGTAAGCTGTATTTTGCCGGTCTGAGAAAATGAACAGCCTGTCAAACTTTTAAGGAGCGTGCAACGAAATAACATGTTGAGGATTGCATGATTTGGAGGCCCATCAAAAGCCCTGCACTGGGCAGACAAGGTTCTTTCACCAAAACATGTATCTGGTGTAAGACCAGTTCTGACATGGTTGATTGAACTGTTTTGTATTCAGTCATCTGTGACAGTAACTTGGATTTCTTGGTGTCGTAAGAAAGAGGACATCATTACTTAATAAATGATGAATGCCAATTTCCAAAAATATTTAACCATGTCCAAGATATTAACAAATAAATCTCAGTTTCCTTTTTCAAAAACACATTGTATACGTCGGGTAAGGGCAAAACCCGTTATTAAAATGAAAGTGAGGGACCAATGCATCAGGTATCATCAGGGACCAATCGCTAGAAATTGGCTTCGGCCGCCATATTGGAATCCACAAAAGCCACTGACCTCAAAGAGCCTGGACTACATTGATCCTCTCAAGTCCGTTGACCTGCGGTAATGGAGAAATATTACGAAAAAAAACCCGGCTCGCTAAACCCTTGGCAAATATTAAGCAAATCAATGGCAGTTTTCCAAACACCTTTATAACCCCAATTCTATGGTCAATAAAGACGAGTCAACACTCTACAAGAGGCCCCCGTATCTGCCCTGTCAGTTTCTCTCCGGATAAGTGAGCAGGAACGACCACTGACAGGGACCATAAATCCGGTGCAGTAGTCCCTAATTGCGTTTTCATTCGGGGTGAGAATTTCCCTCTCGCGGAGGAATATACTTGGGGGCCCCCGGCCACGCTCTTTGAAGTGCCCGATTGCTGCTCCCAATATTGTCGCAGCAGATTTTCCACAATCACACAAAGCATGAAAGAAAATAAAATCCTATGTGGATTCAAGAAAGGCGTGTTCTGTTAAAATTGGAACAGGTGTAATTGAGTGCAAATATTACTTATTACGTTTCTCGACCCCCGGTCAAAGTGTAGAGGCCAACGCTGGAAGGCTGGGCTTATCTTCATTGAAACACAACAAATTTCAACTTAATTGACCGATTTTGTATGGCCAGAGGAAATCCGAATTTCTCTCATTTTTTAATTATTCCCACTGTACATTCCAGCACATGGGGGAACGATGTCCCCCCTTCTTCGTCAAGACAACGTACGAAAAAGAAAACTGATGGCTTTGTTTAACATCAACACGACGCACGAGCTCAATTTGTCACTTTCCGTCCACGAGAATTACGGCTTTGCGAAGCCCCTTTGCGCATTCCCATAAATACTAAATTAGAAACCCATTTGTTTACACAAGAATATACAAGCCTTTTGAAGTCTTACCCTCTGAACTTACTTTTATTACAGCAAAAATCCAATCTTAAAGCCCACTTGATCTCTTTAAAAATATGTATAACATGGTTGACTCTCTTTTCTTTGACAATTTATTTACCGTCGAGGAAATGACTTTTACGTATGTTTATTAAATTAAAACCTAAACATGGGCCACACAATAAGGTATAAACAAACATGGCCTGAACTCGGTGTGGAGTAAAGGAAATGAAATATACGAATTAAGACTCGGTGAAATGAATTATGACCTGTATTTGCTTCATAAATAACCTTCAGGTTGGCTTAAGGTAACTTTCCTTTAATCATTGTTTAGTTAAAAAGATTTTTGCAATTTACTTTTGTGGAAGCTATTTTGTGAATTATTTTGAAGCTTGCTGAGGTTTCAAACACTCTGACATATGACTTGTTTCTTCTTTACAGATGGACAAACCGAAAATAGTTCTCGGTGACATTCCAAGGATACTTTATTCGGCATCAAAAATAAAAATCGTTTCCATATACGCGATGGTTGTCAGACGTTTCTATGCTTGTTTTGATGTTAGTAAACCCAAAGTAAGCGTGTCCTCCGTAGATCGATTATCTGTAACTCTTCAAGGATTTACATCAAAATAATCTGACATTGTGGTTCACCATTTACAGACACAACGTCCTAGATTTGCTCTAGTGGCACTGGAACCTAAGACCTCCTGCTTAACCTGTGTTAAGCAATACGGGGTGACCACCATCAAGTGAAAGAGGTCGTATGTTTGAGTCCTGCAAGAGCACACCATCGTACATTGTATTACTCCAAAATCTCTCCCCTCGTCACCGCGTGCCGTAAAGAAAGAACAGTGCTTTTCGTTTGGAAATCAGAGTTAGGTTCGTATTTGTGTTTTCATTTAACCCAATCGTACCTTTACGGCGCCAAAAGCATAAGTCAAATTCGCAGCACCGTACTAAAAACACACCCACAAATTCTGGGTGTCATTTTGCGCTAGCAAGTAGAAGTCACAAAAATATCAATGCTTTGAAGTCACAACTAAAGGTCACACGCCCCATTCTTCGTGCAGATTACACTCAAACAAATACACACTGTTTCCCAGTTACCAAAGAGCCAAAGAAAAATCCCTTTCATGGTGTGCTGCATTTATAAGTGGTCGTAACAGTAATTTCAGAAATCCAGCCAAAATTATTTTTCAAGCAGTGCCGATATTACAGTGTGTATTGATGCTTGTCAGGAACCTGATCCACTTAAGTGCTTTTAAAATACCTGTGCCGTAATGAAATGGATAAGCGTACATATAAATACTGACACAGGCCCTCGGAGAGCATTCTATTCGTTTCATGGTTTACAGATTGATCACAGAGGTAGAAGAATACATTTGACTTCGGTAAGCAAAGGAAGAAATTACGACGCTGGTTTTTTCCCTTACAAAAGCTAGCTAAAGCCGTAATGAAATTTACTGAATTCGCCGTGAGCCTCTATTTGAAGCTATATACTCAGTTATATGTTTTGGAAATGAAATGGAGTCATGATTGGCCGACGCACAATCAACACCGAAGTCTCTAGTTGGTCTATATATACAAAATACTCTAATGCTTAAAATTCGGTTGAAACAAAAAGTTAAAAAGATATTTGTCATTAGTGGCAGGTCCAACATAAAGCACCGAAAGCGGAGGTCATGCAAATTTAAGGACCGAGGAAATATTTCCGATTTCCTTTTCAGGGGCTAGGTAAAGGCAGAGGAATGGTACCAGGTTTTTGTTAAATACCTAAATTCGGATTCATAATCTGTTTGCTTGTGAAAAATCTCGAAACCCTTCATGTCTCTGGTGCAGTGGTGCCGATTTGCAGTATTGGCAATTATGTGACTGCATTGTAACTGCCACCTATGGCTGTCTGTGGTGTTATATGGCCCGTGGCTGCGCGTGGCGTACAGCTCTTTGCGCCTTACACATCTTTGCGGTCTTGAATAGGCCAAAATTATGGCGCGAGACCTATCTCTGATGCCATTTTCGCTCAGTGAGCATACATTATGCCAAGCTCTAGTGGTCATGGTCAATAAATTGACAGCCGTACCATATTTACGTTATGATTTCACTTTGAAGATTAGAGAATCCTTTCAGGACGGTCTTTTCCTCGACAGCTTAAGCAGTAAATACCTGTTTCTTCTCCCAACCGGTTATGCCAGACGTGCCAAGACAATTACAGTGCCTTCCCCATACTGTACAAGCATTCCGTCGATTTTCCACTTAACCCATTGGCTGCCAATTATTTTTTGGGGGAGAGGAATTCGATAATTACTGGACACATTTTGCACGGTAGGCTATGCGCGCATACAAGATGAGCGGCCGAGTTTTTTTGATTTATATTGTCGGGGAACTTAGATATCAGATTATCTTTGATTACAGGCTTCGTAAGTGCATCTTACGTAACCTACGATGTGTCCCACCCTGATTTGGTAGGCGGCAATTAACTGAGGCGTCCAATGACTTTTGATTAATGGCTTACTTGGTTATCGCTTGCCGTTTATCATTTGCCGAAGATGAAAATATATTTGTAATTATTAAAATGACCCGCCCAATGTACACACACTTAACAGCGCGTTTTTAGAGTACCAACAAGGTACGTTTCAAACAGACGATCACAAGGATGGCCATGTTGCAATAAAGGAGACTCAAATCTGAAGCTCAGCAATGGCTCACTTGAGTTAATAGGTCAGCCGTCCATTTTTGCAATTTCCACATGATGTTTTCCGATTTAAATGGAATTATAACTGCAATTTTGCACGATGGAGTCACGTAGTCAAACTCCATTACACTGCTTGTCGGGTGCCTATTCGTGTGCAGTTAACAGTAAAACAATTCTTAGTACCTACTTTTTCGGAACGCGATTCTCTTGGTACAATTTCTTTTCTGACAAATTTAAACCAATAACTCACCATTTCTAGCGGAGTCTTTAGCCTAGTCTTCGTCTGTACCTTTTACACCACTCAATCACGACTTTAGTCCGTCGAGGGATTCAGTGGGCATTCTGAGACGAAAGTGAAAAGAAACATGGATTCAAGCGATAATCTCTCAGACTTACAGAAAGTGTATGAAAATTTGATTGCCGTACAATTCCGCCGTCCACAACGGTAACATTATTTCAATAGGGAGATCACGTGTCATTTTTTTAATCATGCATGATCAACGGAAATGAAATTCCACATGAGTTGCATAGAAATTTCTGTGTGAGAAGGAATCTTATACTTAAACATGCTCTCAACTCTATCTATGCCAGATAGATAGCCTGCATGACAATGTTTCAGAGAGAGTAAAACTTGCTTAACGTCTTCAGACTGGATGACATTAATGTCTTTGAGCGGCGTAATACTAGACTATACTTTAGTCAGAGGACGCCTTTTGTTTGATGTATTAGGAACATGGGCATCATTTCTCTCACCATGTAACAATGGAAAGGAAAATCAAATCAACAAATAACCAAAATGCAAAGTTTTTAGATCAATTTTTTTTTCACTGGATATTACAAATTGTCACAGGTAACGTCCGCCCAAACTCCACACGAGGCGCATGATCCAATTATCATCGTAGCATATGCAAAACAGAATGAAACACATATACAGAATAGATAAAATGAATGACAGAAACGCCAAAAACGACATGCAAATTAACAAATGGACACTTCAGATGTGACACATTCAAGAAAACAGAAACAAACGTTTTGTATTTAGAAATGCTCCGTGTACTAATAGTGCAATAGATATTTGTACCCGTCGTTCGACACTGGAATAGGTAGAAAGCGTAGATATATTAATTACCAACCTCTTTGTCTGACAACAGTACGTTCCTAAATCTCATAGAATAAACTCTATAAATCCACCAATGTTTCCGTGGACACAAACCACACGTAAGAAGACTGCCCTTATAGCTTTCTCGGGGTCTCCATACATGCCGACTTTGAAAGCCCATGATATTAAAAAAGTTTCAATCTTGGCATCCAGAACAGGCTGGCGCAGAATCTATAGTGCCTTATGGATCATTGTCTGCCAAAATGTCCATAGACTCTCAGTAACAAAATTGAACTTGTCGCCATCGATATATCAAATGTCCTGTCACCGAAAATCCCATCCCCCACTCACAGCAGTCATTATGTTGGCCTGTATTATGCAAATGACTGCCACGAAGATGTACTCAACATGGCGCTTCGTTTTCAGGGGTATCAAAAAGGGCAGGCAAAGGGCACAGGAAAGTATCATAACCTTCCTGGACTTTACTCCTGAAATCTGTGACTCAGAGCAGAATTGGAAATTTTGATGAAACCCCGCGCTCGGAAAGTGAAGTTGGATATATCGATGAGGGACAAAATAGATGTGTTCAAAGGAGAGGCATATGCCAGTCTCTCAACAGACTAAGTAACCTGAATTACCGATATGTGGATAATTACCACCGTCCAGCTTTTTTCGTGCTGAGAAGAAACAGAGTGTTTTTTTATCATCTCTCTTTTTTAGCCTTGTTTGATACTTTAAATTCGACCCAAACTACCATGATTGTAACAGAATTAAAATTGATAATCAATAAAATCAAATCAATCAAAATTGATATGAATAGTGAATAAAAAATATTAAAAAATAATTTAAAACGAGAAAGAAATAGCGGTTTTAAAAATCCCTTTAAAATCTACTTGATATGATCCTATCCTGGCAAAATGCAATTTAAGAAGATAGATATTCATTCCACCACTCCAATTTCAGTTTCTTTCTCGCTGTAATTGAAATCTGGATGCGGTTACAACTGTGTGGGCGTGTTCAGGGAGGTGAAAGGCGCACTCTTTTGATCTGTCCTCGCTAAGCTAGTTCAATGCACAAGTCACGTTGCCGCACAAAATGCTTCAAACATATGATTTAACAGACATTAGTGAGAACGAACATGATGATTGGTAAAGCATTTCAATGCGAAATGTTTCGCCAAAATTTCGCACATTATAATTGTGAGTGGTCACAGAACCATTAGAAATGCACTTAGTCTGGGTTTAATTTCTACAACTTGTGAAGTAGCATTTACAACAGAATGAATGACTTTTTCTAATAAAAATTTGAATTTCAATGAGACCCCTTTAAAGTGAAAACAAAAACTCTACTTTGTGAACACGTCATGGTGTATAAATTGGACAAATTGTTGGAGATATCAATATTTATAACTGTATAAGTATCATACAAACTCCTATACCATTTTAAAATATACAAACTCTCGAGTGTTTTTTTGTCAAATACCCCCTCGCAAACTAAAACAAATTTGTAGATTTTCAAGATTTCAGTGATATTAAGCACCTTACACGACTTGCTTTAAAGTTACTTTTCTATCTACTTTTCAAAGAAAATCAAAAGGGCCCTATGAAGCATCCACAAAATTATGGAATTGAAACTAATAAATGGTCATTTGGGTATAGGTTAAAAGGTCCATTAGTGTCCATCTGACAGAGAAAAGGCCTATCTTAAAGTTCATGCGATAAAATAAACATGAGACCTTTACATTGCAAGATCTGTTTCCAGACTCTAACCGAGGGCCTCAGGACATCTTTTAGCTGCAATATCTGAGACATTTCTCCAGTGAGCACTAAAAGACTTTTAATGCGTCCCTACTGGTTTTCAAGGCACCAAGGAAGCCTGCGTGGGGCTATATTTGTTTCCTAAAGTGCTTTTAACTTCTTGGAGATCGCGTCCCATCTCCTCAGCTTCCTTGTTCGATTAGTTACATTTGGTGTTGGAAATAGGAGGAAAGGTTAAATCAAGCGCGATATGAGAGTCTGAAAAATTAGCATCCCCAAATTTCTCCCCGATGCCAGTGTCTTCCATGCTTCTGTATTATAAAAAAAAACACTTCGTTTTACCTTCGCTCGCCAACGCATCGGTGCTGCCATTCGTTTTCGATTTAGGGATTTTTATATCATTTCACTGTCTTTCCACTGGTACTCACCAGACTTTTTACCCGTGCTAAAACGTTCAATTCCTCGCTTCCGCTTGACTTCGACTCCTCGAGGTCTTATGATGCATTAGCTGCCCTAAATAATGCAACTTCTCGGGATGGGACGATTAATGTCGATGACGATTGTATTGCGTGGAAATGCGTTTCATCCTGTGCCCTCTTCAACTTTGAGCAAGCGGCATCGGGTTAAGTCTGCCACGTCTTGCCATCCACAGCGTCGTCATCGAAGATGATGGTCATCGAGTAACTGTTACGCCCCGTGCACGGCAGGCACCAGACCAGAATCTTTCGTACTCCCTCTCAATTATCACTGAGAACTGTCTTCCCAGGAGAGACCGCGGCGTAAGCGCATGGTAGTGGCATGGTGGTTCGTTGCTAGTTGTGGTAGCGTGGTCGAAGCAGCCTGTCACACAATCAATGCACTGTTGAGCTTCGGAGCCGACTCTCCCATTAGTCGCAGACGGTTTACTTCCAATGAATTTAGACGCAATGAGAAAAAAGGTGACACAATAGAAAGAACTAGAAGAAGACGAATCGCCCAATTTACCGCCGTCTGGCTATAAATGGAACGATCAGGCCCCTATTTACGACTTATTGTAATTTCTCTATAGCTGGATCTTGCACAAAGCAGGGGGGATTTTAATTCAAGTGCTTGAATGGTTGCCAATGCTGCTAGGACGTTCTTCAGTTCCTTCGAACACGGACCCATTGCAAAACAATAGCTCCGCGTAACCGGTCCCCTCGACTTGAGCGAATAAAACTAATGCAGACAAATAAGTAATCTGGGGGTGGTCTGTGTGTTCACCATCTGCCAGCGTTTGCCGCATACAGTACAGCTTACTTGGTCCGTAAATCAAAGGTAAGCTAAACAAAAATATTGCTGACTTTAATCATCTAATGCGTACGGAGCTCTGGAAGTGCCATCTAACTTGTCGAGATCCTGACTTTTTATTAGGGATGACGACATTATGCTGGCAAGATGTCAACATCCTCTGATAAGTTATCATAGGATAACGAAATCCTGAGACAATATTGATCACAGGAAGACATCGTACATCGTAAAAGTGGATTATGGGTGCATTGACAAACCATCTTGAAAACGCACAGGTAGCATGAGGTGACATTGTTTGTTAAAGCTTTATTCTCCTATTGCCTACGCAATATGAAGCTCTGGAAGTGCCATCCAACTTGTTGAGATACTCTGAACAAGTCGGATGGCACTTCCAGAGAGCTCCGTACATGCATGATATTAACTAATGTGAGGGAAAAGTAAGAAAAAAAACAGTGCTCAACGGTTTGTACGGGTACTGAATTTTTGGCCCCACTGGGCCTTCATCGGAGCTGCGGGGGGACTGAAATCTACATTCAAACCAAACAACTATGGGGCCAAAAAATCTACCCCTGCACAAACCGGTGAGCACTGTTTTTTTCTTACCTTTCCCCCACATAACCTATCATCAGTGCTCCGCAAGTTTTCCTATACTTTTTATAACATTAATTAAATTGATAAAACGTCATGATGTTTTGCCGTGTGTTAGTGAAAATGTGAACATATAGTGAAAAAGACATCACACTTGCTGGATGTCGTCATCCCGTGATAAAATCTCCCAGGATGTCGTCATCCAACTTTTGCGATGTCGTTCATCCCGTGATAAATTATCATAAGATGTTGACATCTTGCCTGTATGGTGTCATTATCCCAAGAAACAAAATTGGTCAACAAGTGGGATGGCACTTCTAGAGCTCTGTTAATGAACAGTGAGGCATAAACTTGGTTTACTTTCACACTGGACACCTTTGTTAATATACAATAATGTCAATCTCTGTTTTTCCTTGTAAAATAAACACCTATTCAATTGGAAAGGATTCCAGAAATTGCCGTTTTATATTTGTTTGCTGGGGAAATCAAGAAAACTGGCGAATGTGTAGACGCTGGCAAAAATATTGCATTGAGAAAAGATTGACGCACATGTCGATTTCTAAATTTCTGGAATAATGTCGTGGCATAAATGTGTAAACACGTAAATGAATGACATTACTGGGACTCAATATGAACAATATATTTCGTTGTTACTAATTTATATCAAAGTTAGCTTAATTCAAAAACATTTTGATCCTTTATTTATGATTACAAAATTACCTACAAGTAGCTAACCTACTACCAGCTTTACAAAATATTCCCGGTCGATAGAATGATCCCCTAAAAGTCAAAGACAACACTGGATATGAAAAATCCCCCAAATTAATCTTTCTATCCAGCAATATTCAGGTTCGAAACAATAGAAGATAATCGTTATACTTCCTCTCTAGTTCCATGTGTTCAAAGTTCTGTTGTGATAATATTTGATCAGTACTGACTTCACAGCCTTCAGATCGAAAGGTTGTTGGTACTGATATGATATGTCCAAAGAAAAAAACAAAAAAAAAAAAAACTAAACCAAACCAAACCAAACCAAAAAGCCAACAAACAACAGCACGAACGTCGCAGCAAACTGTAAAAAAAAGTACATTATTTTTTGTTGTCAGGCCTGTGATGCGGCCATTCTTCATCACATATTATGCCTGCTTTCCTGGAGATTTAACAGTAGTCAAATGACACGGCTTAAATATCAAGAGATCATTTCGCTGTTTGGATACTGAAATCCCGAAAAATAATCCTAAGAAAACCATCCAAGCTCTCCATTGACCATCATGTGACCTGCTCGGTAGGTACGGGGTCCCGACTGCGCTGTACAAAGTGACTCAGCAACTGGAGTTTGGAATTAAGAATGAAACGCGATACCTGAGGAAATTGAAGAATAGGGAATTGGCGGCATCTTAAGAAAAAGAAAAAAAAACGGCGAAACAGGATGATCGATGGGTTTGCAACAGCACAAAGGAAAAGTAATGAAGATACACAGAAGACCTTCGATGGCTTTCAAACAATTTGTGCCCAAATTTATTTAGCAACAGTCATGTTACAGTACAATACCCTGCAGAACCTTGGATTCACCTTGAAATGTAATATGTGACATATGCAGCTACTAATAATCCACTGGGCGTACTGCATCCTGTTCAACATATTTTTTTTTTTACATCGCACTTTAAGGGGGGATATAGACTGCTCACTGAGCAAGGCGATTGAAGCAGATGTTTTCAAGCAGATGCGGAAGTAACTTACACATCATAATTATGTGGTACGTTTTCTGGATGATCATTCCAGATGCTTTTCGTAGTTTTGTAGGCCCTATTTGTAATTTTGATCACTGTTTTAACTCCAAATTGCGCGCGCGGTGTAAGCCAAATTGCACGTTTTTTTGTTCACTTGTATTGGTTCTATGTAAATCTAACAATAGCAGTTTTAAATATGATTTCAGCATTTGTGGAAGGCTGTAACGTTTTAGGCGAAGTTACACGTACTCGTGTCTCAGTTCCTGCTTGTGGTAGAAAACTGACGCAAAATGTCTTCGCACTCATTTGCATTTCAAATGCCCTTGCACTGGGAAAGAGCTTATCTAATGGACCCGTTATTAAAAGAAAGAGATCTAATTATCCCTTTTATCAGCTGTTGCATGTGTTCACTGGAGACGCCAAGATAATGAAATTGTGCCTATTGCTCCAAATTAGAAGACAGGCGGGCGGCCCATATTTTCCCATCTGGCGGAATCGCCGGTGCAACTTCGGCAGCGGACCGTGTTAGGTTCCTGCTCTGCCCCTCTGGGGAATCAACAGCCGTTTGACTGCTCATCAAGTGCCTCATCGCGGAACAGTGGAGGACCTCTCATGAAGATTTCCCTTCGGGTGGCGGACAGAGCAGCCGGGCTGTACATGGACGATAAAACCCGACCAGCGATCCAGTTCAGATGGCGCGTTTAGCCTTCATTTCAATTCGATCATTTTGGGCATCTAGGTTCATAGGTTGGTTAACACTCGACGGTGCTTCACGGTGCAATAAATACAGAGCTCAGGTTGGTTTCAAGAGGCGATATAGATCGATGTTTTATTTGGATTTTGCTCAGAGTCCTATTCATTACTGAAAGTTATCGTTTCGGAAAAAACCCACAATTCTTGAGCCATATTCAGTGGCTGGAATTGTATGATCACTTTCTAATTGAACAGTTTTAAAGCTTATAACTGACCAATCATAATTTGCAATATAAATTCTCGGAAGAACCTTCGGCGAATAGTGCAATCAATAAGGTAAAAAGTGGCTTGTTTTATTCTGCTAACTAAAAACTAAAGGATTCACGACTCACTTATTTAGTCAACGAATTGGCATTCAGTATAAATTCGAAATTTTTAAATCAGTTTCCCAAGTAACAAAAGCAGCCTCTATTCCGCAACATGTTTAGCGCAAGCCTTGTTTCTGCTGATAAAAACGACAGCCGTGGGAAATTTCCCCCGCTTTGCCTGATAAAATGCATGAAATGCTAGCATTACCCATTCCCCACAGCACTTTTATAGCTGTTGTCTGGACGTGGCCAACCGACACTGATGGATACAACGCCAATTAAGACCATCCCCGAAGAGGGAAAAAAACTGGGGCATCCGGTCGGAGACCCGTAGTCGCTCTCGTGTAACCTACGACATGCCCTCCAAACCAAGACGTCCATCTGTCTGGCCCACAGTGAACCGGACGAGGAGACACTAAACGCCGAATTGCTAAGGCAAAAAGGAATTAGAAGTCATGCTGGAGCATTTGGAGTAATGCAGGTCTAACTCTACATGAATGCCAATGATTCCATTTAGAGGAATGATTAAACCAACGTGTACTCTGAGCGCAAGGACGTCCCACAGCTAGTTAGCGCGGGGATCTATAGGCGACTTGGCAGACGAGTCGCGACGGGGCCTAATGAGACAATTGTAAAGATGCATCACTCACGCAGATGTAATTCGTCTTGATTGACAAACAAAAGAAAGACGACGATACAAGATGGTTAAGCACACCGAAGTCTGTTGTACAGTGACAAATATGATAAAATCGAACTTTTCAAAATGACACTGAACAATTTCCGAAAGTGTCAGAAAGGGGATAATCGCGACAAGTTGAACTCCTGAAGTGGGAAACATCCGAGAACATTGCCACCCGCAACACCGAAGCCTTTGGCGAAGATAGCAAGTATATGTATAGTGTTTCCTTCAAATATTGGTCCGAAATACAAAACCCCGCGCGACTGCGGACAAGAGAAAAAGTGCCAACTGTCTGTTTCTCCGCGGGATTATATTGGAGTTTCCCTTTCACCCAGCCTAGCGCCCCAGATCTCCTTTGTCGACCCCCCCTTCGTCCCGGGCATTCTATCAAGTTTACCCCCGAGCAGTCTTATTGTTCTGCCATCCTCCCGTCTGTTTTTCTTGGCCATTCATTTACCGGCTTAAGAAAGCATTGAATATCCTGTTACCTTGCCTGGGACGGAGATTGTAGAATCTCCTCATCCGTGTCACTCAAGAAAGGTGC